TCGTTGGGATCTTCCTCTTTTTCTCTGACCCTCCACCTTACCAAACATGATATCCTTCTCCAGCGGCTGATCCCTCTTGATAATATGTCCAAAATATGAGAGACGAAGTTTGGCCATCTTGGCCTCCAAGGAGCACTCTGGCTGCACTTCTTCCAAAACAGATCTATTGGTTCTTCTAGCAGCCCATGGCACTTTCAATATCTCAAATTCATATACCTGAAAACCAATTACTTCAAATCTTGCCCCTCAAACTTGTTTCTCCTTCTGTATTCCCTATGCTGGTCAATGGCGTCATTACAAACCCAGAGGTGTAATTCTAAGACGAGAAAGTCATCCTTGATCCTCCCTCTCTTTCACCATCCACATTCCACAAATCACCAAGTACAAGTAAATCCAATTCCAGAAATCCAAGTGTATCTTCTTTACCCCTATACTATGGCTTCCTGAGTTTGTTGTTGTTAAGTGCCATCAACTCAGTTCTGATTCATAGTGACCCTGTATAGGGTTTCTAAGGAGCAGCTAGTGGGTTTGAACCACCATCCTGTGGTTTGCAGTCTAGTGCTTATCCTACAGAGCCATACCAGGAGTCCTTCCTAAGTTTAGGTCTGTACTATGTCTTTGCTGTGTACTTGCAAAAGCTTCCCAACTGGACTTCCTGAATCTTACCTGGCAATCTCTAAGACAACCCACATAAAGGATGATTTAATATGATATACTGCTGCTTAAAATCCTTTCAGAGTACTCTATTGTATACAACATGAAGCCCAAATAGGGCAGGTAAGGTCCTGCCTGAGTTTACCCTGCCTCCCTCTGTAGCATCATTTTCCACCATATAACATCTTGCACTTTATGCTCTGATTATGCCAAGTTACTTGCTGTTTCCCAGAAAATCTCTTCCAAGTCTCCATGCATTTATGTCTGTAATTCCCTCTGAGTGGAACTCTGCTGGAGTTGCTGTCTGTGTAAATGGTTAGCATGCTCAGCTGCTAGCCAAAAGGTTGGGGTTTCAAGTCTAACTGGAGAAAAAAGCCTGATGATGTACTTTCAAAAAATCAGCCATTAAAAACCTTGTGGAGCACAGTTCTACTCTTACATTTAGACAGCAGCTTTTAAGAATTCTGTTATTTAAATTTTGCTCCATAGACTGGCAATCTCTGTGATACCTGAG